CTCCTCTCCCTCTCCCCCTCCCCCTCTCCCCCTCCCCCTCTCCCTCTCCTTCTCCCTCTCCCTCTCCTCCTCTCCCTCTCCCTCTCTCTGCCTCTCCCTCTCTGCCTCTCTCTATGTGTGTCTGCCTGTCTGTCTCTGTCTGTCTTTCCTCTCTCTCCATCTCCATCTCCTATCCTCTCTCTTTCCCGTGTGTTCCAGGCTAGCCTCTTCCTCTCTCCTCTCTCTTTCTGTCCATCTCTGGCTCCCTCCTTTCCCTGCCTCTACCCCTTTCCAGATCCCCTCCCTTCACCGTCAACTTCCTTTTGTACGAGGCCTGTCACATGGTGGTGATTCCTCAGGGAAACACCTTGGCCAGCCCTCTGAGGTGCTGGGTCCCAGGCATTATACCAATGTTTTATAAAACGCAAAAGGTAGAAATTGGTTATTTTGAAGTAGCCCTCTCCCCACAAGGGAGCTTCCGAGTTCCAGCTTAGCAGTCATCAACATGGGACAGTGGCAGGAGCCCCTGCATCTGACAGGGTGCTGTTTAAGTCATGCGAACCCCTGGAGCTTTAATAGATGGAGGTGCCATGGGCTTCCTGAGTCGGTTCCAGTGGAGATAGCATACACAAACCAGTGGGCATATTGCCCTGGCATATGGGTGGTGGTAATGAGTATAATTATTTTGTTTGAGAAATTGAAAGGGTGTGATTGATGAAGAGGGGATAAAAGGGGGTGGACTTCCTATTAGCTTTATTGTTAGGTTGGAAGTTGGGGTTCCCGTGCCTGACTCCGTCATTCCCACCACAGCGTATGTCCCTCATCTTCCGGGAAGCTGCTGACTCAGCTTTCTTGGCATTATGTGTACGAGTGGGTGGATGCCCATGCGTGGGTTTTTGTGGGTGACCAGCTGAGGACATCCCATCCAAGGCAGAATGTTGCTTTGTGTGGTTGTTGTTGGGCTTTTGTTTGAGGCAGGATCACGGCCAGTGGCCCAGGCTGGTCTCCAATTTAAGATCCTCTTGTATGCAGTTCCACACTGGGATTACAGGCATGTGCTGTGTAATGCACAGGCGTGAGTGCAGTTGTGTGGAGATAAAGGTCACCTGTCCCTGACCCAACAATATCGGCAAGCTGCTTTCCACGGCAAAATGAAGAGGAAGGATGGCCAAGCTGTACTGTGATGACGAACAGCTGCCAGGGACATAAAGGAAGACTGGTGGGCAGGCGAGAAGCTCCCGTGTGGGAACTGGTTTTTTATCAGCCTCTCCTCCCTGCGCCGCCCCCCCACAGCGGTTTCCTGTGGGGTTTCATGTGATGGGGTGGAAGGATTTCTGACAGCCAAGAGTTTGTCTGACCACTGATGATCTTTCTTGGTAATGTGCATTTCTTTCTCACTGTGATGGGAACTGTTGTAAACTGCACTAAGAGTCTTGCTGGAGCCCCTGCGGAGACACAGGCACCTGCCACAGGTGCTATGGGAGGAGGGGCGTGGCCCACAGGAGTCTCTAAGACTCAGGTCAGTTCAGCTTGCCCCTTGACTCTAAGATTTACAGCATTGCAAATGCACCAACAGGGAAATTACTCTTTAAAAATAAAATCTGAACTGGGCGTGGTGGTGCAGGCCTGTAGCCCAGCACTTGGCTCTGAAGCCAGAGAATCACCTGGAGTCAGGAGGCCAGCCTGAGCCGTTTGTAAAGTCGCGGGGATATAGTATAAGGCCCTGCCTCAAGGAAACAAACAAAACTAGATTCACTTGCCTTCAGAATCCTTGAAATCCTTCAGGCTCTCTGGACTTACTTGATCGGGGCTTTGTGGGCGCCTCAGTTACTACACTTGTGGAAAGTGTTAAAAGGAAGGCATTAAGAATGTGGAAGATGATAAAGACGGCGATTGGCCAGTCCAGCCATGGAGCTCTTCACAGGCTCCCTGTATTTGTTTGTGTCTTAGTGCATAGTAACTACTTATTTGCTCAGCTCCCATAACCCCCAGCAGAGGTGGGGCATTGTAAGTCCTAGAGGTCAGAGATGTTGATCCATTGTATCTTCAGACTCCTAGGCTAGGAAGAAAGGTCCAACTCTGAAGTCAGTCTAACTCAGGGTTCATGCTTGTATTAGTTTTCTAGCACTGGGAACTATTTAGCAGTGTCAGGCACTGCCCGTGTGTGTAAGTTCACAGCTCTCCAGTGGGAGGATGGTGAAGAGTCCAACCCCAGGCCAGTGTTGCAACCTTCCCTGCATAACAAGGCCAAGTAAGATGTCAGCCAGGCTAGCTAGGCTCTTTTGGGGGAAGCTTTGGGGAAAGAATCCATTTCCAAGTACATTTAGGTTGGTGGCAGAATCCAATTTCTAGTGACTTTAGGGGCAAAAGGAAATTTCCCTCTACCTTACAACAGTCCCTCGGAATAAACTGGCGAAAGTTGAATGGGAGAAAAGCCACAAAAACATTACATGCACAGATACGGTGGAATTGTCTCCAGTGGCCAGAAGATCCCAGCGTTCACACCCTCTATTTCTACAGGGAGGGATGGAGGTAGGCAGTTTTGAGAGGTTTTTCTTAGGGACAGAAAAAGCTTCATGTTAAATGATGCCTTTGGAATTTAAATGAGCCCAAGGGACAAACACCGTCTTGCCAAGGAGAGGAAAGGTGAGTGACTTCCAGTCCCTAGTCATCTTTTCCAAGATGGATGTAGGAATTTTAGGTGGGGCAGAGGCAGTGGTGAGTTACCTGTGGCTAACGCAGCTAAGGGCATTCCAGAGAAGGCGGATCCCCAAAGCATGGAAAAAGCAAGAGCAGGCGACGGGGCCCTGGATTCTGAGCCCCTTTCTGAGGTGTTTAGTTCATTTCCATCAGGTTGCTTAGCCAAAGCATTTGGGGAATGTCATTCAGGCCTGAGCTTCTAGTTTCTCACTGGATGTCAGCAACCTGCAGGCCACCAGAGAGGCCTCCCACATTTCTCCTGGGGCGACTCTCCATCTCCAGGGTCTGCCTGAGTTCTTTTCATACGACTCCATTGCGGTTAACCAGAGAAAGCCATTTGCTTTTGAAGGGCTCTTGAGTGTTGCCATGTAATGTTGTCAGGAATGTCACCAAGAGGTGATGCTCACAAGACTTAAAACTCTTGAAGAGGACTGTAAAGATGGTTGAGTGTTTAAAAGTACTGGCTGCTTTTGCAGAGGACACAGGTTCAATTCTCAGCATCCACATGACAGCTCACAGTTGTCTATACCTCTGGCCCCAGGGAATCCAGCATCCTCTTGTGGCTCCTACAGACACTGCGCACACATAGTACATAGCCTCAACAGGCAAAATACCCATATACATAAAATAAAAATTAGGATTAAGAGGAAATCTCTTCTAAGGTCAGGCATGGTGGCTCATGCCTTTAATCTCAGCACTTGGGAGTCAGAGGCAGGTAGATCTTTGTGAGTTCGAGGCCAGCCTGGTCTATGTAGTAAGACCCTATCTCTTTGTCCAAACAACCAACACAAAAGATGTATTTATTATGTATACAGTGTTCTGCCTGCAGGCCAGAAGAAGGCACCAAATCTCATTACAGATGTTGTGAGCCACATGTGGTTGCTGGGAATTGAATTCGGGACCTCTGGAAGAGTAGACAGCTCTTAACCTCTGAGCCATCTCTCCAGCCTCTTACACAAAAGTCTTAAAAGTCTTCCCTCAACCACTTTCCCCTTTCCCTCCTGAGGAGATTGCATGTGTGTGTGTGTATCTGTTTGTGTGCAGATATTTACACACCACAGCACGCGTGTAGAAATTAAAGGACCATGCTGCCCTGAAGCCTTATGAGATCCAAGAGTGAACCTCACATTGTCATGCTTGTTCTCAAGCTATCCCTGCCTGCTAAGCTGTGTGGCTGGCCCAATCATAGATTTTTTTTATTATTATTAATGTGTGTATGTATATAGTGCATGCACAGGTGCATACTACAGCACACATGTACAGGGACAGAGGACATCATTGTGAAGTCACGTTCTTTTTCTTGGTTCTGGGACTGAACTCAGGTGCTCAGGTTTGCAGGCAAACTCCATCTTAATGCCCCACCCCCACCTCCCACAAGACATTTTGTCTGGCAGTGTGGCCCTTTGAGCCTCATTCTCCAGATGTAATGTGCTCCCAGTGACCTGTAAGTTCTCTACCACTGAGCTACACAGCCAGCCCTGCTTCCCCAGTCCCTACCCCCTTTTAGACAGTCTTCTGTAACCCAAGCTGGCCTCAGACTTACTGGGCAGGCAGGGATGACCTTGATCTTGGGATCCTTCTGCCTCTACTTCCCAAGAGCTAGAGTTACAGGCATGTGCCACCATGCCGGGCTTAGGTTAGGCAGCGCTAGATCCTAGGGCTCTGTGCATCATGGGCACACTGTCCCAGCTGGGCCACAGCCTCAGCCTTCATTGTTTATTATGGGACAAGGTCTCATTAAGTTACCTTAGCCGATCTTGACATCACTTTCTAACCCAGGCAGGCTTTGAACTTAGGATCTTCCTGCTTCCACCTCCCAATTAGATGGGATAAACAGGCCAGTCTAGCTGACCTACACTGAGTGGCTTAAATACAAGTCAGTAAGTGTTGTTTGTGTTTGTAGTTGTTGTTTTATCATTGTTAAAAGCAATTTAGCTTGAGATGTCTCTTGTGTGATTCAGATACAATCAAGTCCAGAAGAGCTTCCAAAGATATCATAACTCCTAACTTTTCTGTACCAAAGTATTTAAAAAAATAAATAAATAGGCTTTGATGTCCCATCCAGGCCTTTCTGCTGTTTTCTTCTTCCCCTTATCTCCAACCCGAAGGTGGCACTCCACTTCAGCTGCTGTTTCTGCCATACTGATGGTGGGGGTGAGAGAGCTCTGCCCCGGACAAGTGGTGGCTTCTAGTCAGGGGCTGTCCTGCTGAGACAGCAGCTGGCCCCTGCCACTCAGCGGGGAGGCCTGGCCTTCAGAGTGGAGGGCTGAGAGTCCCTTATTGCTCCCTCAGCATTCTCCCTGTCCCTTCTGTGCCCCCAGGAGATCCCCCAAGAGCTCACACTGGATGCCCTGCTGGAGATGGACGAGGCCAAAGCCAAGGAGATGCTGCGGCGCTGGGGGGCCAGCGCTGAGGAGTGCAGCCGTCTACAGCAAGCTCTCACCTGCCTTCGGAAGGTGACTGGCCTGGGTAAGAAATGCCTGCTCTCTCCCAGGGCTCTAGTTATGCCTGTGCTCCCAAGCCTGGCCAGTTCCCTTGGGAGATGGGACTTCTGCCAAAGTTGGCCTTGGGATAGATAGGGAGGGTGTGCTTCAGGGTTTGGAGGGTAGTTTGGCTTGGCTGTTTAGAAAGTATGCTGGGGCTTGGCCCCTAGGAAGCCTTCTCAGAGTCCCCAGGGCCTTGGAACCCAGTTGGCCTGGCCAGTCTGACCTAAAAAGCTTCAGCCATTGTTAGGAATCCTAGTCTGCCTTCAGTTCAGGCCCCGTGCGCCACGCCTCCGACACATACAGGAAGGCATCTGTGTTGCTCCAACCCTTCCCACCAGCTTCCTGCATTCCACCTCCTCCCCTAAACAGCGCCCCTCCCGCTCCAGTCCTCCTGAGCAGCTTCAGCTCTCTGCTCACAAAGCCTCTCTGGCATCAGTGTGGCCTGAGCCCAGCACAGTTAAAGAAAGCCTGCTGTTCCTTATTTGAGAATGTACATAGGACTCTCTCGGGCCATGTACAATCCTGCCATTACCGCAGTCTGCCCTGGGATTATTCATAGGCACTTCATGTCTTCCCTTGGAAACGGTTTCCAATGCCTGACTTAATGTTCCCACTGCCACCCAGAGAAGGCACTGGAATGAGCCTAATGAACAGAGGCAGGGCTCGTTTAAAAGATCTGAGCTGCCTGCTTCATCTCCAGCCTCCTGGGACTGAAAGGGGAGGTGCCCAGCGTTATATTCTTCTCTCCTCTCCTCTCCTCCCCCTCTCCCCCCCCCTCTC